AGCTCTCAGGCTGTAAAGACACCCTTTGCAAAAGGCAGGTGCCTGGGTCCTTGTCGCACACAGTCCCTAGCGCCCTCCGGCTGTGGGCATCTTAGCCCTGGGCCCCATAGCTGCCTCCACACCAAGAGCCCCACTGAGTCCTGGCATAGGGACCAGCGGGAGCTGGGGAAGGAGCTGCCCAGTCCCGACACAGGGTAGGCGGAGGGAGACCTGGTTCAGAAGGCAGCCGGGGTGGGGGAAAGGAGAGGTGAGGCTTCGGGTTGGACTCTGGACTCAAATCCTGTCACACACCTTCTTGAGCCTCCATTTCCTTACCTGTGAAATGGGTGAACAGCCACCCACAGATGCGGGTATCGCCGGGAAAAGTAAATGAGGTGAGCGTCACATCAGGGCCAGGGCCAGGTACAACACCATCATCCTGAATGCCACCAGGTGGACCTAGAACCAGGGACTGGTCCCGGGATCCCTGCCTCAGGGCCACCTGCAGCTGCAGGAATCAGGCCCGCACGTGCACACCAGGGCAGGGCTCTGGCGCCCACAGTGCTCAGGGCAGGACCCCCGCCCTCAGCAGCTGACAGGACAAGGAAAGAAGCATGCGAGGGAAATCGTGGTGAGCTGGGCTCTGGCTGCGACAGAGACCTGCCGGAGCGTGAGACTCGGGCCCGTCGGCAGGAAGGTGGTGCCCTGATGGGGAGGCAGGCCGAGGCCAGATGCAGCCAGGGGCCGAGGACTCAGGGAGGGCTGGCCACGCAGAGCCCTGAGAACGCTCTGCAGGGGTGAGAGGTCCAGACAGGATGACTTCCCTTGCCTGTGGCAGCCCTGACCCCCATGTGGGGATCTGGGAGCTTAGGCCCCTCCCCTACAGTGTCCTCCTGTAGCCACGGGTGGGCATGGGTGGGGGCCAGGAAGGAGGGCGACGGGTGCCACTCAGACATGGGGGCATCTCCACCGGGCTGGGGGGAGAGCACTAGCGGGTGATCGCTAGTGGTCCTGTGAGGGCAGATTCAGAGGCCATTTTAGCCACTGGGGAAACTGAGGCCAGGAGAGAGAGGAGGAGCTGACAGGGTCTGGGAGAAAGGGACTCAGAGAGGGGCAGGTGGAGGGCCCTCTAGACAGTTCCAGAAGGTGGAGGTGTGGGAGCCAGGAGGCCTCCAAGGTCACAGGAAGGTGGTGGGCTCTGGGTGGGACCTCTGTCCCTCACACAGACATGCTCCTGGCTCCCACTCGCTCCCAGAAGCCCCGGCAAGCCCTGAGATCTCAGAGGGGACAGAGGGGGAGTGAGGGGCAGCTGGCGGCACGTGGGGAAGCTCGGGGGCCGGGAACAGCAGGGACCACTGGATAACTCTTTGGTGTAGCCCCTGCCTCACTGGAGGCCTGCCCAGCCCTGGATGCACAAGCGGCTGCAGGGATAGGTAAGGCTCTGACAAAGAGGCCAGCCAGGCTGACGGCCAGGGCTGGCACGTGTGCCCACTGCCGCCTGAGGCTCCCCCTCCAGGTGGCACAAGAGACCACAAGTAGCCTAGGCTGCAGAGCACAGCAGCTCCGGCCCCCACCCCTCCCCAGCTGAGCCCCCAGGAACAGAAGTCCCTTTCATCCGCCCTGTGGGTGGTCCCAGCCAGGCAGCTGGGGGCTGGGGTGGGGAGGGAGGGGGCCAGGCTCGCTGACAATAGGACCAGCTGTGCTGCGCCCCCGCTCCCCTCAACCCACCCAGGGCAGGCTTGCTGGACACTGGCTCACCCCTGCCCTGGGCCAGTCCCACCGCCCATTTGCACCCTAAGCTCCAGAGGGGGACATGCAGGCTCTGGCAGGATCCCTCACTTGGGTGAGCCTAGGGGGCCAAGAGGCTGGGGGACTGGACAGACAGGCTCTGGCCCAGGCCAGATGTTCCAGGGTGGCTCCTCCAGCTCTGGGGTGCCTCCCTTGCACCCCAGCTGCTCCACCAGGGAAGCAAGAAGCCCGAGCCCACACTCTGGCAGCTGCCCCCCAGATGGTGGGCTGGGTCCACGAATGGAGGGGGGAGCCCTGCCTGCAGTGGGGGGCACCTGGCCCACCCAGCCCCCACTCGCTGCTGGCCCTGGCCTGCCTGCCCTTAAGATAAGAAACCCTTCAGGGGCCCAGCCCTGGCCAGCCCCGGACACGGGAGGGAGCGGTGAGCTGGCTTTTCAGGGCACCTGCCTCCCCATCCATCCTGGAGGCTGTGGAAGGAAGCGGGATGAGGGTGTGAGCCAGACCTCTGAACAGCCCGCCCAGGCAGCCCACCGTGCCTGTCGGCCCCCACCCTCCGGCCGTGTCGCGTGCCCCCCGCCCGCCTCCTTCCCCACACCGCCCCCCCCGAACACACACGGCAGAGAAACAGGCCCCGGCACGCGGGGAGCCAGCTGGCACCCAGTCAAACTAGCAGCCAGGCACGCTGCCAGGGCAGCCAGCCAGCAAGCGCTGCCACTCGCTCCAGCCCCGCCCGCCCGCTGGCCTTTACGCTCCGAGCTCACAGCGAGGCAGCCGCACCACGTGGCCTGTCGGGGAGTGAGGCTGTAGCAGACAGGCGGGCAGAGGGCGGAGGGCAGGGGAAGCCCCACAGGAAGGGGATCCCGAGGTGGGGCAGCTCAACTGAAGGAAGAGAACGGGAGACGGCAAGGGGGTAAACTGAGGCATGGGCCTGGGAGGTGCATGTGGTTGCACGGTCCCCTGGATAGACACACACTAGCTACCCTCAGGCGGAACCTGTCGGGTTGGGGGGTGTTCTCCCCTCGACACCTCCTGCCTCCCCCACACCCGTCTTCAGACCTGAGGTGTACTCTGCTCCGCACCCACCCTGTGTTCCAGAGCCTGGGTGAGTGGCCAGAGGCCACATCCCACTTCTCCTTGTTCTGCATCCACCTGTGCTTGCCCACCAAGCCCACAGTCCTGACATACCTGTCTTCCCGACTAGACTGTGAGTATGGCCAGCTCAAGGAGGTGCTGGTGGTGTTTCGGGGCTGGGTGGACAGACAGATGCCCACTAGCCCTCAGGGCTGGCTTCAGAGGGAGAGGCCCAGCCTCGACCCCTCTTCCTGCTCAGACCAGCCACGCCTCGAAGGAGCTGCCTCTCCAGGATGCAGGATGGGGCCAGCGCAGGCCACAGTGCCACCCCCACACTGGCCTCCCACCAAGACAGGTGGACTCTCATGGGCCCAGGGCTGAGGGCATGGGGGCAGGCAGCCGTTGGCTCAGGGGAAGTGAGTGACTGGAGGCCGTTGAGGGCACTCTGTCTGCAGGCCGCCTCCCACCCCAGCCTCCCAGCAGCCCCCAGAGGGACGGGGGCACCTTCTCCCCGGGCCCCAGGGCAGGTGGTGCTGCCCACAAACCGCCCTCCTTGCCGGCGAGATCCCTAAGGGTAGGAGAGAGGGGAAGGGGATGCATGGCTCCTGATGCAGGGCTGCTGCCACTCCTGGGGCCGACCAGGGGCCACCGTTGCAAGAAGGGGAAACCAAGTCAGGCAGCCTGGGGGCACCCACGCACCTGTGGCTGGGCCAGCGTCGGGCCGTGGCGGTTACTTCGGTTGAGGCAGTCCCACGTGGCTGGTGCAGCCCTCCCCCAGGCTCAGCCACCCTCCTCCCTCCCACAGACATCCTGGGAGCCAGATGCTCCTGCCAGGGCTGCAAGTGTGCCCAGCAGACACAGAAGGCGGGAGGGCTGGAAGGGGCAGGGGGGTGAGTGGTGCCAGGAGGGCAGGGGGCCCACCCACGGCCAGTCCAGGAGGCCCCAAACCAGGGTCTGGACTCATCTGCACCAGGTCGCCCCTCAGGGAGGCTGCTAAGAGTGCAGCAGTGGGAAGCGGAGGTGGGTCTGGGCCAGGGACCCTGCTCTGCCCACCTGGGTCCTCAGAGCCAGTCTGGCCTCCCCTCCGCCAGGGGAGAGAACTGCTCCTTATCACCTGTCCAACATGTGTGCTCCACACAGAGCTTAAAGCCCAGATTATTCTAACAACTGTCCCTCACTCGTCACCTGTCCTGTCTGGAAAACAGCCCCTTTCTTATTGCACAAAGAGAGATTTCTCTCGCTCTCCAGCAGCGCCGGGCGCTAATCTCCCAGCCTGGAACATGGGCGGCGACGGTCGCGGTGTGTGGGTCCGTGCGCTCTGCAAACACAACGCCCGCCGCTCAGCAGTCATTGAGTTACGGCGGTGCCAGTGCCAGGAGCGGAGAGCCCTCTGTGCCCGCTGCCAACTGCAATTACCTCTCCGCGTGCCAGCCGCTGCCAGGCTTAACCCTTCCCACGCCTCGGGGAACTGGACGGCCGAGCGGATACTGGCAACCAGGGGCCAGGGACATTGGGGCCCAGGGCCACCACCCACGTCACAGCGCCAAGGGGCTGAGCAGACAGCAGGAGCTGGGTGGGGGGTGCCCCACCCTGGGAAAGCCGAGGGGAGCCTCAGAGACCTAGAAGGGCCTCCAGCGGCCCTCCTGCCAGCCACCTGGCCTGAGATCGATGCTTATTCACAGGGCACCTACTGTGCACACAGGGGCTGCGTCCCATGGGGAGGCCAGGCCTGGGAGGGACTCCATTGTTCTAGGCCAGGCCCTGAGGGTGGCAGCTGAGAATGTTGACAGCTCTCTCCTCGCTGCCCCTCCCTCCCAGCTGGCACATCTGGAGCCCATGCTTCCCTGAGTCGGAGAAGGTGGGTGCAGTCCGGACCGGCTGGCCCAGCTGTGCTCCATGTTTCCTTGGCTCTCAGAGCCCTCCCAGCTCCACCCTCTTCTCTCCCTCTCTGCCCATCTGTGGTGCACATCTGGCCAGGACCACTGCCTGGCGGGGCCCACCCCTCTTTCCAACCAATTACCACCTCCCCCATGGAGGCTTCCTCTGCTGGGAGGCAGCCCCTCGCCAGAGCGCTTGGCAGTGTCTGCCAGCCGGCTCTTGCCTGCCACAGCCGGGGAGCCCTCTGCCTCGCCACTGGCCCTGGACACCACGTCGGTGGCTCCAGCCGCGGGTGCTGCCGGGAGCCCAGGCCCCTGACTTACCTTCGTGCGAGTGGGAGAACCAGATCTGGGAGGCGGTGGGGTGGGGGCCACGGTAGGCCTGCTCCGAGGGGGAGGGGGCGGGGCCGCTGGGGTGCGCAGAGGCCGCCGAGCCCAGGCTGCCAGTGAGGAAACTGCCCATGAAAGAAGAGGCCGGAGAGTTGCCCATCAGACGGCTGCTGGCTGTGGACACAGGGGGTGAGAGTGAGTCTGGGCAGCACCCCCACCAAGGAGCCCCTCTCAGGGCCGACTCTCCAGTCCCAAGCTCCCTGGGGCTTTTGTCTTCAAATCCCAAGCAGCCCAGGTGGGAGAAGCTGCCCACTCGAGCCCCGATGGTCACACTCAGGGTCCAGAGGTCCTGACGCCCTCCTGTTACTGCAAAACCCCCAAGAATGGCGCCCACTCCCACCCCATCAACCAGGGGCCAGGTTCTCTACTAAATAAACACTCAGGGTCCAGGGGAGCAAACGGCCCTGTGGGTGGGTCTTCCCTTTGCGGGCAGAGTCCCTGACTCCCCTAGGCCCAGGCGGTGGGCAGCTCCACGGCCTCAGCCACCAGCGGACCTGACAGAGGCCAGCTGTTTCTCCCCACCCGCTGGGCGGCACTTGGGGGGGCTAGCCTTTCCCCACAGTGGGGTCCTCAACCTTCTCCCCTGGTCTAATTAACTGGTTCATCAGACTGGGTGCCTTGTCTTAGGTGAGCAAGAGGAGAAACTGAGGCAGAGGAAGAAGGAAGGATGGGCAGAGCCTGAGGATGAAGTGTATGGATCTGCTTTTAAATCCCCCCGAGGCTTTCTCAGGGTCAGGCCCTGACTGGCGGGCATGGAGATGCAGACAGCCAGCCTGTGCAGCCTGCCCACCCCAGCTCTCCATGCCCGCCAGCCCACCTGCACCCTCTGCCACGGGGTCCCCTCTCTGCCCAAGTCCAGTGGCCAAGGCCAGCCCCAGGGAGCTTCCCTGGGTTTCCATGGCGACCAGTGGCTTACACAGGAAGGATATACGGGCACACAGAGTGCTGGGCACCTGGTGGGTGGTCTGGGGCTGCACTGCTTGGCCCCCACCCCGGCAGGGTGCCCTGGCACCTTGTCACCACAGTTCCATGGGCAGTGAGCCTGGCTTGGATCATCCCAGGAGTGGAGAGCAGGGACCTGGGGGCTCGCCACCCCATCAGACTGAGTGGAGGGGCCTGGCGGGGTTTGCAGGGGTTCTGGGGGCCCGGGGAGGCTGCAGGCCCGGCCCAAGGTGAGTCAGGGTTGCTGTTTCCCTGCCCGGGAGGCAGGGGGAATTTGTGAATTTGTGATGCCTCATTCAGCCTGGCCCTGCCTTGGGAGCTTCCCAGACACGGGTGACTCAGCAGCAGAGAGGCGGCAAGGCCCGGAGTAGGGGGGGTGGGGGGCTGCCCCAGCTGGCCGGGACCCTGGTACTCTCCTCCCCTCCGCGTGTGAATGGGACATGTGGACAAAGGGGGCCTCTCCTGGGCCTGGGCCACAGAGGAACAGCCTGTGAGCGCTGGCTGGGGATTGGGGCACAAGCTGACTTCTGTGGTGGGTGTCAGACTGCAGGGAAACCCTGAAAGGACCCAGGGGCAGGGGGTGAAGGTGCCCAGGAGCCAGGGACTTCCCGGACCGCAGGGCTGGGACTGCCATGGGCCATGGCCAGACCACAGGCGCGTCCAGCCAGGGGAGGGGACTCTGGGCTGGGAAGGGAAGCGTTGCCCTCCTGGGGCTGGGGCAGGCAGGAGGAGCAGGGCGGGAGAGGGAGGGCGGCCTCTGCTGGGCTCCAGGGACCCTGGGGGGGGCATGCCTGTGGAATGAGTGAGGCCTCTTCCTGCCTCACCCAGGCCCGCCCCAAGTCCCTCAGGCCTTCCCGCCCCCACACCCTCCCAGGGAAGTCCCTCCCACCCTGCTCCTCCCAGGGACAGTGGGAAGCAACCGAGTCCAAAAGTCGGGTCTGGATAAAGGATTTCTCCAGGAGTTTGGCCTGGGAACCCCGCACCTTGAGCTCTCCCACACCACGGCAGGCGGGGGCGGCAGGGCCCCGGGCTGGGCAGGAAGCACAGCTCCCATCCCATAGGCCCTTCCGGTTCTCGGATCAGGGAAACCGAGGCGCGGAGGCAGCTCCCTCACAGGGCGTCCCACGGCGGGGGGGGGGGGGGGGTCCCTGCAAGGGCAGCAGGCAACCTCTGAAGACCCACCACCCAAGCCCCAAGGCACCAGCCACCTGGGGCTGGGCAGGTGGGGAGCAAACCTGAGGCCGGTTGGGGCATCTGCCCCAACTGGACCCCTAAGCTGGAACCTGGGGTGGGGAGGCTTGGGCCACTGGCTGTCACGCCCCCTGGGAGGCTGATCCGGGTCTTGGAAGTACCCTGCTCTGATACCATCCCAGAAGCCGGGGGTCCCACTGCACTGGCTTTGAGGGGTGGCGCTGCAGCTCAGCCAGGCCCCGGTCCTGGCTCCACAGGGCAGTGGACTCGCCAGTGACAGGCTGTGCTTCCTGCTGCGGCCAGAGCTCCCAAGCCTGGGGCTCCCCTGGCTCCACGCCTGCCTGTCTCCCGACTTGGGGGTCCCTCTTGGGGTGCCTCCTTACAGCTGGTTTCTCTGAGTCCATGAGGAAGGGACCCTTACTCCAGAGTGTGGGAAATGAGGAGCGTGGGACAGCGTTCCAGCCCAGCTCCCCTGCCCCGGCCTCAGTCCTAGGCTCCCCAGGGCCCCGCTTTGCTGCCAGCCTTCAGGGCCACCCCTGGCCACCAGAGCTAACCCAGCTGCCCCTGCTGTGCCACCTCTCCTGGCCTCGGGGGTGGCTCGTGGGCCCCCAGTGTCCAGACTCAGGCTGGACCATCCAGCTGGGGGGCTTCTCCACTCCTTTTGCCTTTCATGTTGAAAACAGAAGAGCCTTGTAATGCAAATAGTATGTCTTTACATCTTTTACATCTTCCTTAGAAAATGTTCTGGCGGCATCGAAAAGGAAAGAAACAGAGATCGTCAGTGACCCTACTGCCCTCAGAGCACAGGCTACAACCGTTCCACAGACCACCTTCTGGGTACTCGCTCCGATACAGAGCCACAGGAGTCCTTCACCACGCCCCAACTCCACGCGTGGACATCCTCCACCCTGGGGTCACCGTGGGAGACCCACGCGGGGACCCAGGAGGCCTCTCCCTCCTAAAACCCCAGCCCATGGCACAGGTCCTGCCAGGGGCTCTCATGCTCCCTGACCGGCAGGCCAGCCCTGAGGGGATGGGCACTGGGCAGACGCAAAGCCAGTGCCCTGATCCGCCCCTGGCCTGGGCCCTGCACCATGAGGCTCCATGACCCTTGCTCTGAAGGGTTCCATCTCTCCCCCACCGTCCTGGGCTAGAAGTTTGGAAGCAATCAAAGGTCCTGCAGGCCTTGCCAGGCGGGCACTGCCGTGGTGGATGTGGGGAGGGGACTGCTGGCTCCCGGAGCCTCCCCTCGCCCAGCCAGCTCCCGACATGCGGACAGAGTGTCCCCAACCCCGCTGTCACCTCCACCTCCGAGGAGTTTGGCGATGGCACTGTGCCCAGCCAGCAGAGGTATGGGCAGACCTGGCTGCCACCTCCCCAGCCCCCACCCGCCCGCCGACCAGCAGCCAGGCCCAGACAGAGCCCGAGCAGAGGCAGCCTGGGCCCTGGCCAGGGCCGGAGCTGTGCGGCCAAGTCTGGCCGGGAACTGGGCTGGAGGCTTCTTTCCTCTTGGCAGGGTCCTTGCCCACAGAGTGCTGCGGTTACCCGCCTGGGAGAGGACAGTGGGAGCTCCCAGCAGTGTGGAGGGCCAGGGGGGCTCTGCGCAATGACCTGCCGGGCTGGGAGCCCCCATTCCAGTACCATCTGCACCAGCCCCTTTTACCAGTGGCTATACAAACCCTCATACTAACTTGTATCCCCACGATCCCAGGTGGCAGGCCCGCCCCGGGGCTGATAAAAGAACGGGGCATCGTTAGTCTGGGCCCCACGTGCCCAGGCTGGGGTTTGAAGGAGGCCTGTCCACTCCAAGGCTGCCCTGTCCCCTCCAGTGTGCATGGGCAAGGTGGCCACGCCCCTGGGTTCTGAGGCAGCTCGTTCGGTACAGCATAGCAGCCCCCCACGAGCCACCCCTACGGCCCAGCTGGCCCAAGCCAGGGTTTGCAGCCCCAGACACAGGGCTCCAGCCCCAGCTCCAGCGCCGCCTCAGCCCTGCCGAGTACACCACGGAGGCCTGGCCTGGGCGCCGGGCTGGCTGAGAAAACCGCTCCGGAAGCCAGCATGCCCGGGAGGGCTGGTTGACATCCCCCTGGCGGCCCGGCTCCTTAGGCACAGCCCCCACCCCCGGAGGCCTGTCCGTCTCCATGCACCAAGGCCCGGACAACCTGGACTGAGAGACAGGACGTACCTGGACCCTGGCTTCAGCAGCCACTTCCCTCCCAGCTGCCCCAGCTGGACAGAGCTGGGCCGAAATGCCCTGACACCCCAAGAATCTCCAGTGACCAGTGAGCCCAGCCTTTACTCACAGGGCCGCAGTATGGACCGGGTGGCACCAAGGAGGTAGTCTCAAGCTGCAATGGCCGTGGCAGAGGCGGCCCTAGACGCCCAGGCAAAACTGAGGGGAACGGGGCCTCTTCCACCAACCTGTTCTCCAGGCCCGCTGCTGCGGCCAACGGATAGCAGGTCCCGGGCAGCCCGAGGGCAGCGAGGGCGCTCCTGCCCGGAGCCCACGAGTGCAGGAGCCTCCAGGCGTCCGTCCACCCACCCTCCCTTCAGCCCCACCTCCCCTCCAGCCTCTCCTGGGGTGGGGGCCCCGGGAAGCCAGGCTCTATACTGTGACCCCAGGCTGAGGGCAAAGGGGGCAGAAGGAGGTGACGGACAAACAGAGGGACGGACAGATGGAAGGGCCTGGGAGAGCAGGGGAGAACGAGCGGAGCTCAGAGCTGCGGCAGAGCGAGCATTTGTTGTGACTGAAGTGAGCCACTGAGACAGCATCCTCCTTTTCTGGAAACTGTGAAATGGGTTGTAAAAAAAAAAAGGCCTCGCTGAGATGGCTGGCGGCCGCTCGTGAGAAGCAAGCCCCTTCCCAGGCTCCCGGCGCTCCCGGAGCTTCCGGAAGCCCAGCTGACGGGCTGCTGGCACCGGGCTCCCCGGCTCTGCGTCTGGCGGCTGCACCCGCCGCCCGCGCCAGCTCCCACCCTCCC